GCCTCCCCGGCGATTGGGGTTGCACGGGCCTCGCGGGTGTCGTTCGTGGGCGAGGCAGGAGTGGACGAAGGCGGGCTGTCCCAGGAGCTCTTCAGCGTCGCCGCCAGGACCCTCTGCCAGCCCAGCAGCGGGGTCTTCCGCCGCCTCGCCTCCGGCCTGGCGTGGTTCCCCAGCGAGGTAAGGGGCGGGCCCGGGGAGCCGGGGAGCCTGCGCCCGGGCGAGGGCGGTCACGGCTCCTCGTACGTGCTTGTTCGCGCCCAGGCCTCGAGCTGCGAGGGCACCTTCCTCCGGATCGGGACGCTGTGCGGGATGGCGCTGTACAACAGGTGCACGGCGCCCTTCCCCTTCCCCCGGGCGCTCTACAAGAAGCTGCTGGGCGTCGCGCCTGCCCTGGAGGACCTGGAGGAGCTGTGGCCAGCCGCCGGTCGTGGCGGCTACCTTTGCCGTTGCGGAGCTGCTAAAAGCCACAGGTTTCCAAGGTGGCCCTCGTCCGGGGCACGGACGTCACTCTCGAGCAGAGGTCGGCATCGACAAATTATAAAAGCCAAGCCCCGTGGCTTAGAAGGGGTCAGATTCCTGCTCCCCGTGGGCTTAAGTCCATGCTGTGAATATATAGTTCAAAACCACTTTGAGCTGTAGCTCGGACTTGGAAGAACTAAGCGCCCAATTACTAATGTTGTTTTTTGCAATTTACTAATTACCAGTTTCCACAACGATGTTGTGCACAAGCACAGTACTACCATATGCTGCGGTTGTGCCAAATCTGAGAACCCGCATGTGGGTTTTCCACGTGCTGGGAGAGGAGCTGCTGCCACCAACGTAAAGCTCCTAGGCCCCTGAAGCCCAGCTTCCACGCAAGTGCTATAAACAGCCGAGAAGATGAGAACCCCTTCCCACGAGCCAGCGACTGTTGAGGGGGACTGAAACGTCAGGTTGCCTGCAGTACTTTGAGAGGTGCTGCCCCCCAAAACAGTTCTGCCAGATCATCCCACTGGTCCACACTTAATTCCTCACTAGATGATATTTGGAAGAACAAGGCTGTGGTCCAAGCCCACTTGCCACGGAACTTTGTGTAAAGTTATCCCCACAGGGCGCGGGGATGGACTTGCCTGGAATCCTTCGCGGTGAAGGCACTTGCCCTCAGCTCATGGCAGCAGTGGGAATAAGGGTACAGATCAGTTTAGGGCCATATATGAAGGTTCTGTTGTGAGTATAGGTGTTCTGTATGTATACGCGTTTAAATACTGCTTGTCAAAGGATGGTTTTTGGTGCATTGAATGGTCATGTTTCTTCTCTCTTTTTTCCCCTTTGTTTTTCAAAAGGAGCCTTCAGGGAATTTTGGATGAAGAACATGATCATATCCTTGAGAGCCTGGACATGGACTTCACGGTAAGGCATTACTGTGCCATTCAGATGTGCCATGCATGTACTCAGGCAAGACAATGTCCCACTGCAAACAGCACAACTTGTCTGTAAACTCAAACTAGTAAGAGTGCTATGTCAGGCCCTACAGAAAGAAAGAATGATAGATGTAGCACATATATATGTGTCATATATAGATACAGCATCCAATGTTTTCATTTATTTGTGTAGATAATGGAAGAAGGAGGCTCCATGGCTGCTGTTGAACTTAAAAAAAATGGCGCCAACATTCCTGTCACTAAGGATAACAGGTTGGTCTTCTTTTTCTTACCCTGTTGTCTTGTTATGAGTGTATGAAATACCATATCTATACCCATCCCCATATACTTTTAGAAAATATTGAACAACAACGTTGTGCCTTTGGTCTTGGTCCAGTAAGTTGTATGCTTTCGGTTCTTGCTGTATGTGCTCCATATGTGCTCCATATGTGCCAGACATCGGCAGTTTTTGTGCAAGCAGTGGATAAGAAGGGGATCCTTGGATGTCCTGGCATCTGCATATACAGAGATGCCTGGCCTTATCAGGGAAATTCCTAACGAATGTATAAAATACCCCTGAATAATATTTTCAGGGAAATACAGACAACTTGTCTGGGAAATGCTGCTGTAGGTACACCTCTGTAAGATTTTTTTTCATGAGCAAAATGTTTCCTGCTTAGTTATGTATATGGAATGTATCTTGTATATGACAGAGAAGGAGTAATCTGTCAATAAGGTATTGTGTCAGTATTAACCTCAGCACAGGGGACAAAGAGAAATTCTGTGGCCTGAGTTCTGCAGATGACCTGAGGACCCATAGGGATGCATGAAAGGGCTGTTTAGGAAGCTTAGAGTATAGCGTTTACATTGAGTTGATTGTACGAGTACAACGTCACTAAACAAATCCCCATCACAAAGAGAGGAAAGAGTGAAACTGTGCTGACTAGCAGGTGTGCAAATATTTATTTTGATTTCAGGGTAATTCTTGGGCGTTCAGTGGGAGTTTTGCTGAATTTACACCATTTAGGTCTGCTAGGTTCCATCTTAATAGTCAGGTGTCTGATAGGATTTCATTGGAGAGTTCCCGTGAAGAACAAGGACTGTTATCAAAATGAATCCATGTTGGCCAGCATTCTCTTTTATTTGTGATGATCCTCCCAGCTTATTCAGTGAATAAATAATAGCTGGTGATGACTGCTTTCAGTAAAGCCTGAGTCTTTGCAGTAGACTGAGTATATGGAATAAAGGAATAAAGAATAAAGTTCTCTATAATTCTCTTTTTAAAAAAGCACCTATTGCATTGCTTGTTTGATTCCAAATATCTTTGCAGGAAGGAATTTGTTGACTTGTACATGAATTACGTGTTCAATGAGTCGATACGGAAGCCATTTGAGGACTTTATGCAAGGGTTTTTAAGAGGCTGCCCAGCTATAAAGTGGAAGATGTTTCTCCCTGTAGAGCTCCAGATTGTTCTCCAGGGACACACAAAATTTGACTGGCATCTGCTGGAAGAGGTATTGGATAGGAGCACGGTGTACTTCTGCTATATCTGCTGAACGTAAACTCCTTCTGACCTGTTCTCGTGTTGAGTGCTATAGGTCACGAACAGAAAAGCAGAAGCTCGAGGGACTTTCTCTTCTCTCGATTTGTGTCTTTGTTTTGAGTCTGTTTCTAATCTACATCAGGTACAAGAATAAAGGGGACTGAAAATCAAGTCGTAGCTCAAGGATTGTCATATGAATCTTTGAAAAACAAATGAACAAGCAGATTTCAGAGGTTAAGAGGATCTGAATATCTATGAACAGGATTATAAAATTTATCAGATAAGCTGTAGTTTCTTTAAATAAAAATGGAAATAATGAGGATTAACTGGCCTGTTTTATTTTTATGTCCTCAACAGAATGTGACGTACGAACGGTATAAAAGGGTAGATCGAACCATCAGGAATTTTTGGACTGTGTTTCACAAACTCCCAGAAGAAAAAAAGAAAATGTTTCTTGGTAATATATCAGGCATTTTAAACTTTTCATAGCCCTTCTTTCTCCCCCACAACACACAGTTTAGATGCTTGCACGTGAAAAATACTATAGTTCCAAACTGCTTTTCAACATGTTTTCCCCCCCGCCACATTTTCTAGTGAAAGCCACAACGAAGTAATACAAAGAATTGCACAGACACAGTTCTGACCCTTCTCACATCCCTCGAGGCTTGCCCGAGTGCATCTGACTGCCTCGAACCTTGCCATTACTTTATCCTTTACTTTTGTGGTTATCAGTTGTTGGTCAGAGGCCTCGACTTGTGTGAGCAGACTATGCCGATGTAAGCAGTTTAGCTTTCTCAAAGGATCGCAGAAGCTAGCTCATCCTTTTTAAATGCAGAAGGTCAAACCTAGCCAGGCCTTTCGCATCCACAACGTCTATATAAGTAAAAGTAAAAGAGCGCTTATGGATCAGCAAGAGACTTTATTATATTCAGGTACAAATTCAACAAAGCAAAATAATTAGCTTATGGAAATAGCCATATTTTTACACTAATTTTCCCTCATCATTTTCATCCTCTGATAACATTGTCTTGTTTATTTTTTTTCAATTTGCTAACTTGTTTTTGTTTTTCTTTTTCCCCTTCCTTCAGCTTTTGTGTCAGGATCTGATCGAATCCCTGGCTATGGACTGGAACATTTTAAATTTTCTATTGTAGATCCTGGAGCACCCAATCCAGATGAGCATTATCCCTTTGCCAATACCTGCAGCCACATTTTGTTCCTCCCCAGATACAGCAGGAAAAGAATACTCAAGAAAATGTTGCTCTGTGCCACAGAGCATAATGAAAATTTTGGCTTGGCTTAACTCTGGGTCAGGAGCACTTTAAAGCAAAAATAAGAAAACAAGTCTCTGTTTCACTCATCATATTTTTCTCTTAATAATTCCAATTTACTGGTTTCTACCCTGCCTTATTTTTACTGCACTTTATAAGCACTTGAGTGTGTGTATTCACTGAGATTTTATATTGATTATAAAAATGAGCTTAGACCAGAAACCTGGTTGTTAGATTATAAAGTTAGTAAAGAAGAATCCTATTTAACACGCTTCCAAGAAGCAAGCTGATAACCAAGTGTATTTATGTGTATGTCCATCCTGTCTGCACTGTGCTGGTCTTGTTTAGTTGGTGAGCTTCCAGCAGCAGAGATTCTGTGATTTGTACGTTACCGAGCATACAGGCAGTATATGCTAAGCAGTCATCGTTGCAAGGGGAAGGAAGCTAGGGTAAAGTTTTCATCTGTATTAGTTAAGGATTCTCTTGGGGAGCAACTAACGCTAAGGAGGCGTGTTCCTGCAAACTGTGAATTGAAGGAGCAGCCTGTGCTCACCTGGGTATGGCCTTTGACTTATCTGAGAGAAGTTCTTAGGATGAGGATTTGATCATTCCTAAACTTTGTCAAAAGCTGTATTTGTAAAGCATTACTGGACTTTTTATTATTTAGTACGATAACACTGTGATATTTGCCGTGTTTCTTTGTATTTTCTAAGGAGATTTCGGCAATTAAACAAAATTTTAGGCTTGCGGAACAGGTCTGTCTACAGAAGCCTGTGGACACGAGGCTTGCAGGGCTGCTGGAGGCTCATTGTCGAAACAGTGCATAGCACTGGCAGGATATCGACAATGTCGGGCAGGATGTAAAGGCAGGATGTGCATTTCTCTGTATATTTTACTTTGTGTAAAAATATATTTATAGAGAGAAAGAGAGACAACAATCATGATCTTTCAGCAGTCCCCTTTGGTGTGTTAATGTGTCAGTGGACCTATATTTGTAAAGGCGGCTTTTCTGTGTTGAATTAAATGATGATCGGTTAAATTTGCACACCTGTAGTTGTGTTCTTCCTTCGTTATGCAGCTGCCTACGCGTGACAGTGTATCTGTGTTTTCTGTCCTCGTTGACAGGGGGAAGCCGTGCACAAGAGGAGTCAAAGGCGGATATAAGTCTGTTTCAAACATGCATTGCGTAGGCTGAACAAGTCAAGGTCTTTCACGTTTTGTGCAGAATATGCTTTAGATGAATGAAAAATTGAGAGTGAGAAGAAGACAGCAATTTCTACCTGCTGTTCTGTCTTGACTTTGTGTTGGGTTTCACGTGCACACCTTCTTGGACCAGGGAGGCCACCTCTTTGAAATGCCAGGAAATTCTATAAACCTTTTTTAGAAGTGACTGTTAGGCTAGTCCTTTTTTTCCTTTAGGAAAGTAAATGTTTCATAGGAAAGACATAGGCATTATTTATGAATTTCCAGCTCAGTAAAAAGGACATTGTTACATACTGAGAAAATGAAAGCTTCCTTTTAAGTTACGGTATAGTAATTAGTAAAGAAAAGCTTCAAGCACTCGCCTCAAGCGCCAGGGCGGTCCAGGGGAGCGAGGGGACACGTGGCCTCTGCAGAGCTAACCCCCGTCCCCCTTGCCCACCTGGGGCGGACAGGACACCACAGGGATGCTTGCATCCTCTGGGAAAGGCGCCAGCCTGCTGCAGGTGTATTTTTGTGGAAAGAGGGAACTGGCAGAAGCCCAAGCTGTTGTCCCCATTGAGCCGGAGGGTCCCCATCCCGTGCCCGGCTGATGCTGCCACACCATCGCAGCTGTCTCGTGGCAGCTTAGCCTGCTGCTCTTCGCCAGCCTGCTCCTGGCTGCTTGTTTCCTTTTTTATGGTTTTCTAAGCCTCCGTTAGGGCTTGGAAATCCAGAGTGATCTTCTGTGCTCTGCAAATGTACAAAAGATGTATTCTTTTTGGATTTCAAAATAACCCATTAGAGATTAAATGATAATAGGTTTATTTAGAGCCTGAAGGAATTTCCTTCTCATCATATATGATGCAACATCACATGGGAGATTAAAGCCCAGAGTCACTTTCAAGGCTATTTTTAATTTGTCCTCAAATAAGCCCTGCTTTTATAAAAAAGAAAAAAAAGACCTTCAGAGGGAGCAGAGTAGAGTGCTCCTCTGCCATTTTCTGCAATGAATTTGAGCACCAAGCTGTGTCTACATTTTCTCAAGCAGTGCTCATTATAAAGTATGCAGGGGAATGCCACGTGAGTGAGCCTTGCGCTCAGCTATGAGTTTAAAAGGCTTGACACAGGCAGCGAGAGTATATTGAACCTGCAGCATGAATTTTTTTTTTAGACCACTCGTCTGATCTGAACGTCACCTGTAGAGAAGTGCAAGAGCCTGGCAGAGCAGCTGATGTAACCAGGGTGGTTCTGGGGTGACCAGGACACCCCAGCAGCTTGTAAGCCCTAAGAATCGAAGGAGGTGGCCTGGTGAAGTGTGGCAGGGGTGAGCTTCGTGCTGGATTTTGTGCAGAGAGGACAGCACGCAGGAATACCGCTTCCATAGGAGGTAGCGGGACCTCGCCTTGGCTGGCTAATCCCCAGCTGAGCCCTTCTGAAAACCTCTTCCCTAACATGGGAAGGGCCAAAAAAGACAAAATACGGAAGAGTTCATTGCTTCCAGAGCAACACAGAGACATCAATGGCCACACAGAAGGATTTTTCTTACCCGCAACAGCTTTCTGGCCCAGATGCCTGGGGCATAGACTTGTGGCCCCTGCAGCAGTTCCCCTGCGGCGGCGTGCTCTGCGGCTAGCTCTCCTGCCCTCCTCAGGCTGGTGGAAAGCTCTGACAACGGGCAGGACTGACTAGGCAAAAAGCATCGCTGCCTCTGCACCGCCCCGTTAAAAGGTCTGTGCCGTGGCCCGTTGTAGCAGAAGGCTACCAACGGCACCCGGTGAAGGGCTCTGGAGGAAAACACCTGCTGGGAGAGGGTTCACAGGGCAGGGGAAAGCTGCCACCCTGCCTTCCTTCGTGGAGAGAACGCGAATGAACGGTAACGCGTATTGCCACAACATTCAGGAGACCTCAGCACATGCTTGCCCGTGTGGTTCCTGATGCTGGGCTGCTGTTCAGCTGCTTGCGGGAGAAGAGAGGTGCTTTGGAAATCAGGGCGAGCTGCGGGTTTTGGCACCTCCGGGTATCTTCAGACCTGGTCTCTGGGTGACCTAACCCCTCGAGGAAACGGTGAGCTGCCTGCTCTTCTGGCGAAGGTCCAGCCTCGCCGCCGGCCCTCCTAGGGCAGCCCTTGGCCAGCAGGGAGACGTGGGCTGACCCAGCCTGGCCACCCCCAGGTGAGGAAGACCCACGGTGCGATGAAACCTGGGCTCTGAGGAAGAACTCGGCCGAGGCGGCGGCCTCCAGAGGGAGCTGTGCACAGCGGAGTGCAGGGACGCAAACAGGACGGCTGCGTTTTGGGGTCTTCCTTCCGTTTCATCCATTTATGAAGGACCAGCCCTCCACGAACCTGAAATGTAGCCAGTCAGAAACTGGTTTAAGCAAGAGGTTCCTGGCTCCCTATGACAAATTGCAGGTTTTGCTCCCTCATCTATTTCTTTTTTTTTTTTTTCGCTTTTTTGCGTGTATCTTCCCCTCCTTGATTACTCAATCAGAAACAAACAGAGGCAAACGAGTGTAAAGGGAAATGCTGGCTATTTTGCAAAGGTCTCCAGATGACGAAATAAATAAAACAAAAACAAACAAAGGAAATATTTTTTCCTCTACGCTTTCAGTTATTCTAGAAGCTGCTTGTAGCACTGGTTGAGTAAAAGCTATCACGTCACAGGTATAATTTTACACTAGAGAGGAGCTCTTTTTATGCTAAACACTCATGATCCATGCAAATACAGGTGAATTTTTATCCGATACGTGACATGTTGCACGCTAAGTACGCAAGCACTGCAAACTGCCAGAGGCGTAGCGCAAGGGAGGTGAACACTGCGGGCGCTGGACTTGCTTTAGGGACCTCTTCTCCCCACCCCGAGCCCCCGCAAACATCTCTCTCTGGTTTGCTCAAATACCGACTGTCGTTTTGATGGTCTGAGTGGGATCCAGCTTGTGCATTGCTCTTGTGGCCTGCAGAGCCTTTTTCTAATGGATGGCATTAAAATCAGAAAACGAGTACTCGGGAGTTATGTAATTGCTTGCTCATTGGCCTCTTTTTTTTTTTTTTTTTTTACCTCTGTCTCCCAGCAGAGATTTATACTTTGACCACAAATATTTTCCTAAGGTTGAAACTTTGTATAAAATGTATGAGCTCCTAAACAAACAAGCCTCTCAGGTGCCTAGAGGCCATGTAAAATGCAAGATGAAAAAAAGGCGAGGGGAAAGGAACTGGCTATTGTTATTAATAAGCGGTATTTCATGCTTAACAAAACCAAGAGAGTCATTTTAAACAGCTGAAAGCTGGCTTTCCCTTGAGACCTTCACTTCGAATAGCTTAAATTCTAGAATATTTGCGTCTGCTTAACTTTGCCCGTTGATTCGTATCGTCTTCAGCGCAGCTGCTGATCTGCCTAGCCTGTAGGGCTTCCTAAACCTCTGCAGTCCCAACCCTGGGCCGCTGGTTACCCACAGCGCTGGGCCTTTGGCCGCAGCTCCCGCGGCCCTCCACCGGCGGCGGCGGGAAGGCGGGCACGCCGGGCGGCCGCGAGGAGCCCTGGCCCCAGGGAAAGGGGATGCCCCGAGCAGGCCTTCCCGGGGGACGAGGCAGAAACACGGCGTCCCCCAGGACGCGTCGCCCCGCCAGCCCCAAGAAGCAGGCCACGGGCGCTGCCAGG